AATTGTATTTATTTACTTACTTACTTAGTGACATGAAGATGGAACCTAGAACCTTGCATGTGCCAGGCAAGCACTATAGCACTGAGTTATACCCCGAGCCCTATTATTAAAAACAAACAAACAAACAAACAAAAAACTATTCTTAACTTGAGGAGGTTTACTACAACTTCAGATGCCTAAATGGTGCCAGGCACAGTGGTACATGCCTGTAATCCCAGCAACTCAGAAGGCCGAGGCAGGACGATCGCTAGTTCAAAGCCAGCCTCAGCAATTTAGGGAGGCCCTAAAGCAACTTAGCAAAACCCTGCCTCAAAATAAATAAAATGAAAAAAGGCTGGGGATGTGGTTCAGTGGTTAAAGACTACTGGGTTCAATCCCAGTACCAAAAAAAAAAAAATTTTTTTTATACTCATTATAAAATTTATATGCATGGGGCTGGGGATGTGGCTCAAGCGGTAGCGCGCTCGTGTGGCATGCGTGCGGCCCAGGTTCGATCCTCAGCACCACATACAAAGATGTTGTGTCTGCCAAAAACTAAAAAATAAATATTAAAAAAATTCTCTCTCTTTTAAAAATAAAAAATAAAAATAAAATTTATATGCATATAAATTTAATGGTATTTCTTATTTTTAAAATCATTATTATATTTGTAGTAATACTTTTTAAATTTTACTACTTATTATAGCTTTTCTTGATGAATAGTTCCAGAATCAACTGAAAAGAACTAGATCTGATTTGCTTTAATCATAACACTGCTTTTATGTCTAATAATTTTCTACTTGACCAAATTCTATTTTTAGTTCCTTTCTTCCTTCTTTCTTTTGGTTTTACTGTGTTCTTTTTTAGTGTTTTTTTTTTCAGTTAAATATTTACTTTCAAAATAGTATCAATCTTTTAATATAATCAAAGCAATATATTTTTTCTAACATCTCTCAAATTTTGATACAATGCTTTTGTTGTAACTCTATTCTAATTATTTTATAATTAATTTCCTTTTGTTGTTGTTATTGTTATTTTAGGAGACAATGTCTAACTCTAGCAATCCTCCTGTCTTAGCCTCCCAAGTAACTAAGACTGCATGAGTGTTCCAACATGCCCAGCTCTACATTTTTTAATTCTTGAAAATTCTTAATCATTTTTTTCTTTAATATTGCTTCTCCACTATTGTATTCTCTCTTCTAAAACTCCACTTAGACACATGTTGGAGCTTCTCAACCTGTCCTCTAACATCTTAGTTTTTCTTTCTTGTTTTTCATCTCTTATATCCTGTGCTGTTCTGGAAGAATTCTAACTTCCATTTTCAAACTACTAACTTCTCCCTTTAGCTGTGTCTATTTGCTCATTTATGGAGTTATTTTAAAATTATATTCTTTATTTTCCAAGATTTCAATTCTTTACATATCACCTTATAATTACTATTTATAAAATAATTGTTCTTATTTAAATATAATTCAATATGCCCTCAATTTAAAAAGGTAATAATATTTTCTAGTACTGAGGATTGAATCTAGGGGCCTTTCATCACTGAACTCCATATACAATCCTCTTTACTTTTCATTTTAAACAGGTTGCCCTTAAACTTAGCCCTCCTACCTTAATCCCTTGTATAGCTGAGATTACAGGCATGTGCCACGCAGCCTGGCTAAAATAGACATATTTTAAGTTAAGAAACTTTTAGGCAAAAGTTTCCATTTAAAATTTATCCATTATGAAGCTCATTTTTAATGATAAAAGGGAAAAAAAACACTTCTTATAGTTCTCTTGGCTGTTATTCTGCCAAATGTCATCCCACTGTGCCTACTTGGAGCAAGGCATGGAAAGAATAGGTTCTATTATTTCCATTTAGAATTAGAGGAGCTGAAGCACAATAAAGTTCTCTTATACTTTCTCCTCAACTTTTTTTTTTAATATCAAAGTCACAGAAATGTTCACAGTAAAATAAATACCTTATACCTTTCACCAGGGTTCAAATTTGTTAATATTTACCACATTGGCTTTATCTTTCCTTTTATCTCTAAATACACATATACACACCAAATCCAAATATTCATATACCTTTTTCTGAACCCATTCCTGAACCCATTAAGATATATCACATTCAAATATTTTAGTATTTATCTTCAAAGAATAAGGACACTGTCAGTACAACCATTATGTTATTAAAATACCATACAAACTATGAGCTTTAATAGAATATTACACAGATTTGCAATAGCAGATTCAAAGCTAGTATTTAAGTCATTTGACTAAATGTTTTTTATCTAGGCTTGCCTAATGATTGGACCTGAACTGATTCTCTGGTGATTATTTCCATGAGACAATCCACCAAAGAACATTTTCTTTCCTCCATGACCTTCAAAATAAATTTCATTTACTCCTTCACTTGACAGGTATTCTTAAAAAACAAACATTTCTGCAAATCAAGCAATAATCTTCTAGGATATTAAACCTCAAATATCAAGTATTCTGAATTTCCAGATTGTTTTCACTACTTTTTAATTTTATTTTATTCAATTTATTTATTTAGGTATAGGAATTGAACCCAGGGCACTTTACCACTAAGCTTACATTACATCCGAAGCCCTCTTTATGTTTTGAGATAGGCCCTCACTAATTTTGCTGAAGGTATCACTAAACTGCCCAGGCTGGCCTTCATCTTGTGATCTCCCTGCCTCAGTCTTCTAAGAAGCTGGGATTACAGATGGGTACCACCACACCCACCTTCTAGGCTGTCTTCTTACACTGTGTAGCAGCTTAAAGTGAAGCCAGTATAATTAACACTCTCAAAACTAGACATTCCTTTTTATATGCCACAGAAATCCAACCAATGAGAATTTCACTATACAAGCTTTTCAAGGGAAAAATATGTTTTTCAAAAAATATAGTATACATAGGAATGACAAGGGAAAAGAATCTGTTTCATACATGAAAAACTAAGTATATTCATCAATCTACATGGAAAACTAATTTTTCAATGAGTATTATTTCATCTTAATCACTGATGTTAGGAAATGAAGAAAATTAAAAATTATAAAACTCTTTCAAGGAACACACAAAATAGCAATATAACCTAACATTAATAGTTAAGAGATAAACTGTGTCATACAGATAACTATAACCAAAGACATGTTTAAGATCAAGCTACAATCAAATACTAACAAGATTATTTACAATACTAACAAGATCATTTACTATATGCTGCTAGGAACTGTACTAGGAACATTCCATAGATTAACATAATGTCACAGAAACCCTTCTTTTTCACTGGGAAAACACAGCTAGCGAAAAACAATTGATATAGGAGTAAGGGCATGCTTTAACTTTAAAAGTACAGAAAAGAAGAATGGGGAGAAGGTCATTTCAAGAAAATGGGAAAGCACCAATCAAACCATAAATATGACAACTATCCCAAGTAATATCAAAATATGAGTTTCAAGTTGAAGAAATGGCTAAGTAGAATGGAATTGAATTATGAGAGGCCTCAGTTACCATAAATAAAAGTTTATAAAACAGCTGGAGCAGGACACCCTACACGCTTTATGTACTAAAAAATGCTTTTAGAAGAATTATTTGATACTACTACTAAATGAGAAAGAAACCAAAAGAAAAGAATTAGCTAATGCTAACATTTACATACCAACTCAAAAAACTGTCACCTGAAGAATCACAGAACTCAAACTGAACCAATTCTACTACACTTCAAATCAATAAGCACTTTTGTCAGGAACAAGGAAGTGGTAGATATACTTGAAAAACAATTTATATCTTCAATGAAGTTTAAAGGTATACTGAAAATTATGTCATTAAAACTGTTAGTCAGGGGCTGGGGATGTGGCTCAAGTGGTAGCGCGCTTGCCTGGCATGCAGGTGGCCCGGGTTCGATCCTCAGCACCACATACAAACAAAGATGTTGTGTCCGCTGAAAACTAAAAAATAAAATAAATATTAAAAAAAAAAAAACTGCTAGTCAGCCAGATGTGGAAGCACATGCCTGTAATCTCAGTATTTGAGAGGCTCAGGGAGAAGGATCTTAAATTCAAGGCCAGTCTCAGCAACTTAGTGAGAACCTGTCTCAAAATGAAATTTTTAAAAGAACTGAGTGTATAACTCAGAGGTAGAATCTCATTGGGTTCAATTCCCCAGTACCACCAAAAAGAAAAAAACCACCACCAACAACAAAATCCCTGCTAGTTAGTAGTTAGACTTGGGATGCAGTTCAATGGCAGAATGTGTGCTCAGCATGCACAAAACCTGGGTTCAGTATGCAACACTGAAAAGAGAAGGCATGCCCATCAATTAACATAAAACTACTTTTACTGTTCAGTACTACTGTACAAAAATAATTTGACTAAATTTGGTATGTGCATTAAATTTATAATACCAGTATTTACTTTAATAAAAGCAACATGATAAATAAATAAACTTATACAAGACTTTAATAGGGGCTGGGGATGTACCTCAGTGTTAGAGTATTTGTCTAGCATGCACAAGGCCCTGGGTTTGATACCCAGCACTGAAAAAAGAAAGAATATCTCTATACTGCTTTAGAACTACACTATTCACCAAAGCTAATGAACATACATTTTTTTAGAAACAATTACTATGTAAATAATACCCATCATACTTTTTATTCATATGTCCATTAATAGTTCAGTATATACTCCATACAATAGTTTTCAAAATCCACATTAGACATAAAAAAAAAAACCTATCTCAAACAAGTTCCTTTCTATTAAACAAATTCCTCCTAAAGAGAAGAAATTTGAGAAGAAAAATTTCTCAAGTTTGTAAAAACTAGATTACTTACCAGTAACTTGAGTTATCCTATTGGGTCTTTTCCCTCACAGATCCACCTCTCCTGCCCTTCTGTCCAGCATGAGAATCTTCCTGATGGGCATCCACTGGAACTGAGGGGGCATGCAGTACAGACGTATATGTAAGAAAGTTGGGGGTAGGGGATTTGGAAGATGCTAGATACATGCGTCAGTGCACTTGCTTACCTTCCTGAAATTGGAAATTTCAACCGTTCCTTGGTCCTCGAAGCATTCACAATAACTTCAAAGAATGTGGATCTGTGGAGATTACCCAATAGGAGAACTCCAGTTACTGGTAAGTGATCCAGGTTTTTCTTCTCTATCAGAATAAGAAGATTATTTAATTTTATTTGAGATTATTAATACATATAGAACTACAGGAGAAAAAGATAAAAATTCATTGGGTTATTATATATGAACACACAAAAGTGAATATAGAAACAATTTGCGAACCAGAGCATCAACAGAAACTTCTAGCATTATCAGAAACACAAAGCAAAGATTTGCAGTTTCATTTTTGAATGTTCACTGTAAAGATAGTTATGTTTTAACATACAAAAATATTAGCTATCAAATTATTCCATTTCACTGAAATACCACCATTATTTTTTAATATTAATATAAGAATAATCCTCCTCCTCCTCCTCCTGATCAAAATCTACCATTTTTTAGCTCTTATTAATTGTTATAAAAAGCTACCAAAATGAACAATCTTTTTAGACTACAGATTAAAAGTATTAGTACAATTCCCATTTATCACTAAGTTTTTAACCATCTGTCACCTATCAAGAAACTAACCATTAAAGCATATAAAGTTATTTATCAGTACGTCAGCTGCTGATAAATAACCATTGAGCCACATCTCTGGCCCTTGTTTTTTCTTTATTTTGAGACAGGGTCTTACTAAGTTTCTAGGACCTCACTAAGTTGCTGAGGCTGGCCTTGAACTTGAGATCCTCCTGCCTCAGCCTCCCAAACTGCTAGAATTACAAGCATGTGCCACCGCACTCCACTAAAGAAAAATATCCTAAAGGAAAAAAAAAACCTTCCTCAACAGAATTTTATTGTCTCTTCAAACTTACATGAAGACATGCTATTGCCTTTAACTCAGTGTATATTAATCATGTTACTTTAATGATGTCATTGCCACAGTAGGTACTAGATGCAGATACATGTTTTAATAATCCTTTATCATTATCCAGCTAGACAGTTATCCCCTATCTTTGAGAAACTTGTAGTTTCATGATTCTTCTTTCTATGGAAACAAATTAAAGAAAATGTCTAGCTTTTCCTTTAAGAGTAATGGAACAAAATAGGAGCTGGGTTGTGGCTCAGTGGTAGAGTGCTTGCTTAGCATGTGTGAGGCACTGGATTCGATTCTCAGCACCACATACAAATAAATAAACAAAATAAAGGCCTATCAACATCTAAAAAAAATTTTAAAAAGAGTAAGGGGATAAAATGGTCTATAAAGTCTTCATTCTTCAAAACATAATTCTAAGGAAATTTTTATATTTTAATCTTGTTATGAGGTAATATTTGTTTGTTCTTAAAAAAGGTTTGCACACACTTGTCAAGATTATTGTTACATTCCTATTTAATTTAAGATACAAACATCTCTGGGTAAAAGTGTATTCATATTTCTATAAATCTGGGTTGAAGAGTATTATAATAAAAACCCATTAGTTTTTAAATGATTCATTCATTCCAAAAGGGGTACTATACTGCTATGCTTTGGATGTGGTCTGAGTATATATGAACCAAGGGTACATGTGCTGGAAGGTTGGTCCTTAGTAGGGAGATGTTGAAAAGTAATGGGACATTTAAGGGATGGAGCCAAGTGGAAAGGAGTTAGATCATGGGGGAGGTGCCCTCTGATGGGATTAACTGCAAGAGCAAGTTGTTATAAAAAGAGCAAAAACAATCAACAACGTGAAGATAGAACCTACAAAATGGGAGAAAATCTTTACCACATGCACTTCAGATGGAGCACTTATCTCCAGAACATATAAAGAATTCAAAAAACTTAACACCCAAAAAAAAAAACCCCAATCAATAAATGGGCTAAAGAACTAAACAGACACTTCACAGAATAAATACAATGGATCAACAAATATATGAAAAGATGTTCATTATCTCTAGCAATTAGAGAAAGGCAAATCAAAACTATCTAAGATTTCATCTCATTCTAGTCAGAATGGTGATTATCAAGAATACAAGCAATAATAAGTGTTGGCAAAGATGTGTGGGAAAAGGTACACTCAAACACTGCTGGTAGGACTGCAAATTGGTACAGCCACTATGGAAAGCAGTATGTAGATTACTCAGAAACCTTGGAATGGAACCACCATTTGACCCAGGTATCCCACTCTTCAGTTTATACCCAAAGACTTTAAACTCAGCATACCACAGTGACAAAGCCACATCACTGTTTATACAGCAGCTGGAGAGATTCACGAGAGCTAAACTACTGAGCCAATTTAGGTGTCTTTCAACAGATAAATGGATAAAGAAAATGTGGTATATATACACAATGGAATATTACTCAGCCTTAAAGAAGAATGAAATTATGGCATTTGCAGGTAAATTGATGGAGCTGGAGAATATCATACTAAGAGAAATAAGTCAATCCCAAAAAACCTAAGACCAAATGTTTTCTCTGATAAGCAGATACTCATCCATAATGGGCGGGGGTAGGGAAGAATGACGTAACTTTGGATTGTGCAGAAGGGAGTGAGGGGAGGGGCTGTGGGGATGGGAAAGATGGTAGAATGAGAGGGACATTACTACCCTATATACATGTATGATTACATTACCAGTGTAACTCTGCACCATGTACAGCCAGATGAAGAAGTTGTGCTCCATTTGTGTACAATGTGTCAAAATGCATTCTGTAGTCATGTATAATTAATTAGAATAAATTAAAAATAAATAAGTTAATGAATGAAATTAAAAAGAAAAAAGAGCAAGATTGACCCCTCCTTACTCTCTGGTTTTCTATATCACCATGTGATCTCTTTTGCACTTGTTCTTGCCATTATGATACAATTTACCATGAGGCCCCACCAGAGGTCAAACAGATGGAGCCACCCACTCACAGACGTTTGACCTACAAACTGTGAGTTAATTAAACTCTTTTCTTTATAAATTACCAAGCTCCAGACATTTCACTATAATAACAGAAACAGACTAATCCCTACAAAGACCTCCATTTCCAATTATAAATATAAAAAAGAGTCATCTAGTTAATTTTTCTATTAGATTCTTCCTTAACTTCTAATCACTGAAGAGTAAGTATGTAGCACAAAGATCTTACATGTTTGTTTATATTTATAGAATAGACACAGATAACCAAAAGGGTCACTTAGAAAACTGGCACTGAAAAGTATATCTTGTGGTTGTCTTCATTCCACAAAACCAGCTAAAATGAATTTTACTGGAATAGCTTAGAAAAAAAATCCAGAGATTAAGATGCTGTATTCAAATCTATCCTGTGTGAATTCTAATAATGCTAACCAACAAGAAAGCATTCCTTTAGAATAAGACAGAAACCAAACTGCTATCATTTCCAAAAGTAGATAAAAAGTGACTTCCTTTTGGGAGGGGGTGCATTATTGTCTCAGATACTTTCCATTAGGGCAAACAAGCTACCAATGTTCAGAGAAGCCCTATTAAAAAGCCCATGTGACAAGAAACTGATGTCTCTGACCAACAGCCAAACCTGTCAACAGTCACGAAAGACAGAAACGTGTTCTAAGGTTTGCTAAAATCCACTTAAGTGAGCTTGAAATTGGATCTGCCCTCAAGTGAGCCGTGAGTTAACTGCAACTCTGGTTGACACCTGAACTGCAGCCTCGTGAGAGAAAAGATAGGAAAAACTATATATTAAAATGAATCTGTCCAGATTTTGAAGCCCTGCATTAGTTTTCAAATCAATTCCTAATAATCATCTCTAAAATATGAGTAAAATATTTTCTCTGTAAGACTGATTTTATAAAACAATAGCTCTCCTGTAATAATAAATTTCACTAGTCTCAAGTCAATAATAGTTACTATAACTTAAAGAGTAGCTCTAAATGCCTCATTTTCTTTTCTTTAAAAGTTATTCATTTTTCATGTCCAAATGAATTTTAAAAACTTTAAAACAGCAATTCTTCTATTATACTTCACTAGGCTCTTGTTAATCATGACTTTAAAATAATTAATTGCACTATCACTTTAAAAGTGCATACAGGGTTCGAGATGGTAGCTCAGTGATAGAGCAGTTTTCTAACATGCTAGGCAGTCCCTTAGTTTGATCCCCAGCATGCATGTATGTATGTATGTGTGCACATATGTACATACCTATCTCTCTTATCCCTTTCTCTTACTCTCTCACACAAAGTACATATACGTGCTGCACTTTTCAAAAAATCTTCAATGGCTGTTCATTAATCACCTTTTTCATGGAACCATACACTAAAGCATCAATAACAGTAAGGTACAAACCCATTGTATCTAAATTAATTTCAAAGTATTAATGCTCCATTATCTCCCACCTAACTAGAGGAACAGTCTAACTCACCTTTCTATTTCCACTGTTGCATCCTTCCAGTCCATTCTCTTTACTCAATGGCTTCTTGTTAACATTTCCAACAAAATCTAAATGTAGTATCATTTATGACTAAATTGTGATCTGTAGTCTACCTACTTCTCTGGCTTTGTTTGATGTCACCCACCCCTGCCTTACCACATGTTAGTCTTTGCTCCATATAAAACAATTTCTTTTAAAAAAAAAAAAAGGGTTTTAAATTTGCTGTTAACCAGTACTCTTTTCATGAACACTTTCTCTTACCTTCAGCTTTTATGACACCCCCTCAGAGTAATCTACCTACTTCAAATAATTCCCATTATTATCAAAATCTGCAATTATTTTGCTTGTATTCTGTATTCAGACTTAAATTCCAAGAGGGCAGGGATATCTTGTTCTCCTTTCTAACTCCATTACCTAGCCCATCATCTGCCCCATAATCTCCATTTTAATGGATAGTTAAATTATTTTCAAAATTCACAAACCCCTCAGTGATATTCAGTTCTAGAGTCTTAGCTACTCCCCTCTTATACTGCCTATGCTGCAAATAGCTTTTTACTTAGCACTCATAAAACCTGAATCGTTAAGCATTATAAATTATATCAAATTCAGTGTCCTGCAGAGACAGCTATTGCTTTATAGATCAAAAATGGTTTTATAAAATGTACCATGATGTGCTTGGTTAGTTAATCAATAAAGAGTTCTATGATTCACCCCTCCTAAAAAGAGAAGATAAGTTTCTTCATACA